TCCGTGAAACCCATGGTTGAAGCAATTCTCAAATGAGAACTGGCAGGCTAAAAGGGCTGTGTGACCTCAGGCCACATAAATAGGAAATTTCTTCAAAAACAAAATACAAGCCATAAAGAAACATTAGGCTATGCGCAGTAGACTGATTAGTAAATCTGTTAGTTGTTTTGAAACTATTATATTTTCCTAATAGAATGTGTAATTATATAACACATATTCTATTTATGTGATACAAGAATGTAAGTATTACATACTTATCCTAAAATATCAATACCACTAAAAATTAAGATTTTCAGCATAAAAGACAAATGTAAAAATGTAAAACTGAACAGTGTGGTTTGGGATAAGGCATTCTGCATTTCTAACAAGTACCCAAAGGATGCTAAAGCTGTTGGGTCCAAAGACTACACACGAGTGTCAAGATTCTGAGGTTCTTATAATAAGCATGGGAAAAACATTTTGATTAATCCTAGATTTAGATATGTTGGTTATACATGTCATTTCTAGGGCAGTGGTTCTCGGCTGGGCGAAGTTTTGCCTCCTAGTGCATATATGTGATTTCTAGGGACATTTCTACTTATGGAGAAGGTGAGGGGGTGTTACTGTTATTGAGTAGAAGTCAGGGATGTTAATGAGCCCCTTCAAGGATTTTCCAACTAAAAATATCAATAGTACTGAATTTGAGAAACACTGTTCTGGGGAACCATTAAAAGAAGAAAAAACAGAGTTTCTGGATTCCAAACTAGGAAAAAGGGAGAAATGGATTGATAAATCCTAAGTTAGTCCACAAAGAGGTAAGACAACGACGACAAAAACCAACATCCGTGCCCCACCCGACCCCACCTCCAAAACACAGGAGGGTAGAATAGCATAAAGTGGCAGATTTAAGTTCCAAGTATATCAATTAGTAAGCCCATTAGATATAACTACAAAAAAACCCCAGTTAAAAACAAAAATGGTCAGACTGAATTTTCTAAACTATGCCACTTACAATTTATATATATATACACAAAACCTAAGGATGTGGAGAGTTTGAATGTAAAAGGATAGGAAAAGCATACTGTGCAATCAATAATCAAGAGAGACCTGGTGTGTCTATACAGATATCACATAAGTAAGCCCTGAAAAAAAAAGGTAACCTAATTCATAATGATAGATGATTGAATTCACCAACATATAAACTCATTTTATGCACCTATAAACATGACTTCAAAGCATATAAAGCAAAAATTTAGAGAAAAGAGAAAGCAGTCAATTCTACAATGAAAGTGGCAGTTTAGCACAATTTCATTAGTACTGAGTTTTAAAAAGCAGAATTAATTTAGACACAAATAGCAGGTCTGCCTACCAACAAATATTAAGCTTGATCTTTGGCCTCAATGTAGAATGTTGTAGAACGTTGCTACCAGCATCTCCACGGTACATACTCTATTCAATGTCACAAAGAAATTTAAAAATTTGACTAGATACTCCGTCTGTAAGTCTCAGCAGTTATAAAATTTTTTTAAATATCAAATAGTCTCTGATTATAATTTAATGATGCTAAGAATCAATAGCAAATATTTTAGAAAATCCTCTCCTAAACAGCACTTGAAACAAATAGTATATTTAACTTTGTGAAGAGAAGAAAATTACATTTTATACTTGAAAACCCACTTACCTGGACCAAGGGCTGGCTAACTACAGTACGTGGGCCAAATTTGGCCTGCTGCCTGTTTTGGAGGTGGGATGGAGCTTGGGGTGGTTGTTTCTTGTTGAGATGTAATTCACATACCATAAATTTTGTAGTGTACAATTGATTGGCTTTTAGTATATTTACAAAGTTGTGAAAACATCTCCAATCGGGATATTTGAAACTCCATACCCATTGAACAGTCACCATTGCCCCGTCCCTCCTCAGCCACTAATTATTTTGTCTCTAGAGATTTGCCAGTTTTGGACATTCCACATAAATGGAATTCTATTAATACGTGGCCTTTTGTGTTTGGTTTCTGAAGCCTGTTTTCCAAGTTCATCCATGTTGTAGCATGTAACAATACTTCACTCATTTTCATGGGTAATGTCCATTAAACAGACCCTTACAGTATGTGTTACTTGTCCATTCATCATTTGATAGATATTTGGCTATTATGAACAGTGTTGCTATGAATATTTACACGCAAGTTGTTCTGTGACTCTATGTTTTCAATTCTCTTGGGTATATACCTAGGCATGGAATCGCTGGGCAAAATGTTAACTCAGTGGGACTTCAAGACTGTTTTCCAAAGTGGGTATACCATTTTACATTCCCATCAATAGTGTATGAATGATCCAGTTATCTCCACATCCTCATCAACACTTATTATGTGCAGTAATACAAATAATTTTTGTATTTTGGTCTTGTATCCTGCAATCTTGCTGAATTTACTGGTTCAATTTCTTTAAAGTGGATTTCCTACATACAAGATCGTATCTTCTGCAAATAGTTTTATTTCCTCCTTTCCAATCTGCATTCATTTTTTTTCTTGCCTATTTCTCTGGCTCTAACTTCCAGTACAATATTGAGTAGAACTGGCAGGAGCGAACATCTTTGTATTCCTTGTCTTCAGTGGAAAGCACCCAATCTTTCACCATTAGGTATGGTATTAGCTGTTGGGTTTTTTGGGAAGATGTGTTTTTATCAGGTTAAAGAAGTTCCTTTCTTTTCCTAGTTTGTTGAGTGTATTTATCACAATCAGGTGTTGGGTTTTGTCAAATGCTTTTTCTGCTCTAGCTGAGACTGTCATGTGGGTTTTTTTTTTTTTTTTTTTAATTCTATGGGTATGGTGTACTACATTGATTTTTCTGATGTTAAACTAACCTTGAATACTTGGGATAAATTCCACTTGGTCGTGATGTGTTCATAAAAGATAATGATTTGTAGACTTCATTTGGTCTTTGTTCTCAGTGTCAGAGTAATGCTGGCCTCAGAATGAATTGAGAAGTATATCTTCCCCTTCTACTTCTTGGAAGAGTTTGTGAAGAATTAGTATTCTTTGGGTATCCAACCTTTTGGGGTCTCTGTGCCACAATGGAAGAATTGTCTTGGGCCACACATTGTGACACACAATCACACACACAAAAAATCTCATAATGTTTTAAGTAAATTTACTACTTTGTGTTGGGCTGCATTCACAGCCATCCTAGGTTGCATGTAGCCCATGGGCCTCAGGTTGGGTCCCCCTGTTTTGATAGAATTCAGTGAAGTCATCTGAGCCTGGAACTTTTGCTGTGGATATATTTTTTTTAAATTACTAATTCAATATATTCCTAACACATGAATATTTCTGCTGTGATTTCTATTCCAAGTAAGAGGATAAAGCTCAACAGCAATCTAAGTCAGGTTTTGTCACTATAGCAGCTTAGGTGAGTTCAGGTTTTACCTCCAATGGCTCACTAAAAAGCCTACCAGGATTTCCACATTTTGCATCATGGCTAAGAGACCAGGATCCGGGTTTCCCATAGTGCTTTTCCTCATCTAGCTTGTAGGGCTAGCTTCCCTCCTTTGCTGGGTCCTTAGGAGGATCTTAAGCTATCAAAGTACTTTTGTCTGTCTTTTCATGTCAGTCTTAAGACCCGGTCAGTCTGTAAGACCCCTAACACATGCCCAACACTGGGTCTGCTTCCCCATCCAGAAAATATAGCTGCACAGGGGACTACAGGGAGTGCTTGTGGTGGAGACTTCCTCCAGACAGGAGGGCTAACAGGGCATGCGCTGAGCCTGCAGATGTTTTGATTAGATGTGAGGACTGGAGGGACAGGGCCTTCCTTCCGGACTCTCCTTGTGTAACTTCTTGTGGGTTTGAAAAGGAGAAGTAGTATTAAGTCCACCACCTCAATCCGCCTGTCCTTTCCTTGGCCACAGCTCGAGCTGAGGCCCTGACCTCACTCTCCAGGATCATCACCCTTGCTACCTCCCTGGTTCCCGGGCCTTGTTTGACCTCAGGAGGATCTTCCCAAGTGTCACTGGATCCTGTTCCTTGGGGTCAGGTCAAGATCTTCACCCCGATATCCTGGTATTTGGAGGCTCTTTGGGATCTGGGCCCCACATCCTTTGTGCTCACCTGTACATGCCCTTTCTTACTTACTCCAATCTCTGTACTGAATAACTTATTTCCCTAAAGAGTGAAGAGAAGAAGGCTTTGCAGGCAGAGGTTCATGTTATGACCAAAAGTTTGGAGATGCCAAGGCAGGTGGTTTTACAGGAACCAAGGTGAGTGCATCGTTCTCTTTAGTCCCTAAATCCAGGTGTCACTGAGTTCCAATCTGTCTTCTTGGGAATCTTTTTGTTGTTTCCCTTTTTACCCAATACCTCCCTCACACCATGGTACCTGCTCCAGCTCAAAACTCCTCTCACTTAAACCAGAATCCTTCTGGGCCTCCTGTCCTCATGTTTCCCCCTTCAATTCTGATGGTGTCACTCCTTTGCCAAAACACCCTGTAGCTGCTTCTGTTTTCCAGGATAAAACTTAAATCCTCACCTTGCTCCAAAATGCTTTATGCACTCTGAAATCGGCCTCCGCTCTTTGTGCTGTTGATCCCTGTGTAGGTCAGTAGCAGAGCTAAGATGGAATTGAAGTTTGTCTCTGCACCGCGTGTGGCAGACTGTTCCACTGGCAGGCCTGCTGAGCCCTGCCTGCAGGTTTTCACATCTGGGCGGGGACCAACCACACTGACTCTGGGCTTGAAACCTTGTGGCTGGTTTTGGCTTGTGGTGCAAAAGCACTTGTCAACTGGGATTTGTTCCCTTGGAAACTGCTTTGGAGGCATATGCTATCAGATAAAGAGGTCCGGGCACCCTGGGCAGGCTACATAGGAGAGGCGCTGTACCAGGCCTCAGCTCAGGTGCCAGCCACCTGAGATGAGAAAGTCATCGCAAACATTTCAGCCCCAGGAGATGCCACAAGGAGAACTAGGACCTTCTGACTGAGCTGAGCCCAGACTACAGAATTATGAAGAAGAACGCGTCTTTATTGTTTGAAGTCACTAAGCTTTGGGCATGGGTTGCCATGCATTAAAATACAACTGAACACCACGGATCATGCATTTGAATATTCCTTCAACAGTTACTGCTAGGCTGCCTACTAAGCGAGATTATTCAACATCATGCTGAAAGTGATTATACTGCCCATCCACCACTTCCCATTCTCATAAACACTTCACTCACTCAAGTCTTTCAAATATTTACATCCTAGGAAAGGTACATCTGTGTCAGGCTAGGGGGATGGCCAAATGAGCTTAAACCATAGGCTTTGCCCTTATGAAACTAACATAAAATAAGTTAATAATAGTAAAAATGAGGTTTCTGTCACCTTCATTCCTCCAAGACCCAATTGGGTCTAAACTAACAAACAGTACGGACTCAGTAACCTAAGGACTGAGCTGGTGAAATCACCTTGCCATCCAATATACCAATTTCCCCTCCACCCCACTGAGTCAAATTTCACTCAAGTATCACGTCCTCACGTCCTCTGTGAAACCTTACATGCACCGCCATCCACTAAGTCTCTTGCTCCTCTCTCCAGGACTCTTTGGCCCCTGCATCAGTTAGAATTCAGGTGACCTGCAAGTGATGAAACCCCAAATGAAGAGTCACTCTAACAGTTTAGCTCTGCCAGGTAACTGATACCAATGTGGGTTGTCGCAACATCAGGACCAATGCTCTTCCAATCCTGCTCTGTTCACACTGGCCAGAATTTAGTTACCTCACATACCAAGTTCCAAGAGACCTGGGAAACAGCCTTAAATCCAGACAGCCACCTCTCCTGCTCCTTTACGGTCCTGGTTATCCTGATTATCTCAGGGGCAGGGCCTGTCCCAAAGGAGGTTCTCTGCCAAGTCAGAGCTACCCTGACTGACTGCTTCTCTGTGCCAGGCACCATTACCCACCTGACATACACGAACTCATTTCGTCTTCACAACCGGCCTTGCGGTCTAGATGCGGTCTGTAGCATCTAGACCACAGATGTAAAATGGCGGGGGGTTACCCCCATTTTACAGAGTGAAAACTAAGTTCGGAGAGATACTGGGTAACCTACCCATGGCTGCACAGATCTTAATGGAAAGAACTGGGATTTGGACCTAGGCAGTCTGGTTCCAAGGCACCTGCTCTTCACTACTGCTTACTTGGCCAACGTTTGCGAAACTGAACTGAGCACAGGACTCTGCTGGCCAGCGGCACCTCCGGGACCCTCTATTCTGTAGGCCGGCTACACTCCCCATAGGAAACCCACACCAGTAATTAGGGCTTCCCCAGAGAGAGGGCAGAGACCATGGCCCTGATATGGAGCCCTCTCCTCCATGCTAGTGACAGACCAGAGGACCAGCTAGCTACTTCTAGACCTTTATTTCTCTGTGAAAAGGGGGGGGAAAAAGAATAAAATAAAAACGGCACAGTTGACACAAAAAAAACCACTGAGGGGGAGGAAGGAAGGTGGAAAAGTAGATGGGGGAGGGGTCCCCATTACAGCAGCAGGAACCAGTGACCCGGGATGCTCACCTCTCTCCCCCCTCAGGTGGGAGTGGCTGCCCCTTCCTCCCAGGGTCGCTGCCCTGTCCCACCTTGTGCACCCCCAGCCCCTTGGAAGGTAGACAGTGAGAAGTCAGATTCCCAGGCTGGGGAGAAGAAGAACCGTGCTGGGGTAGGGGCCTGGGGTCAGACCATGCACAGGGAGTGACAGCCAAAGGCCCCCCGCTGTCTCCCAAAGGAGGGAACTTAGGGGCTGGGGGTGGACACCAGAGGCCGGCGTTGGCTCCTCTTCCAGCATCAGGCGAGAGACAGAACTGGGGGAATAGGAACAGGCGGGAGTCAGAACCGCAGCTAGCACCGCCCACATCTGCTCCTGCATCTCCCCTGCCAGGAGCTGCTGCTCCCAGGCTCAGCCCCTCCTTGCACACCACCTTCCCACTGGGTCTCCAAGTTCTCAGAACCTTACCAGTCAGGGCCTCCTGGGCAAAGTACTTGACGTCCACATCCTGGTCCTGGGTCAGCTTCTCTAGGATGGGCTTGACTTCACTCTGCAGTGTGCTGGAAGAAGGGGAAGGCAAAGGAAAGGGTGAGCAGGGCAGGGCTAGGGCATGAAGCAGGCAGAGGCCTAGGCAAGAGGTGCAGACACAAGCTCGCATGGGAATCAGAGGTCTCTGGGGCCCAGAACAGGCACAGGGAGGTCAGACAGTCTGGGCAAGTGGGGGAGAGAATCACAGACCCCCTAAGTCTCTGAGGTCGGCAGATGGATGTCTTTCATTTGTTTAACCTATTTACGGAGGCCTACTGGGGATGAGAAGTGAATACAGAGGAAAATCCAATACGCTTCATTCTTGCGCCCGAGGAGCTTGGGCTAGGAATGAGACAGAGCCTACTGATGATAAGAAACAGAGGAGGGACAAGTGCTAAAAGGGAAGTTCTTGACCCTTCGGGAGCCCAGGGGAAGCATCTGCTCTCCTGGAACGGGGCCCAGGGAAATCTGTCTGTACTGAAAGTCCATCATGTTGGAAAATGAAGGTGGGCTCCAAAGAGTCACTAAAGGTGTGAGGTGGTGTCCTGGAACAGATGCAGAGAAAGACATCAGAGAGGCAGGCATCGTGGGTCCCCTTCCAGGTGACAGACAGCTCCTCTCCTTCCCCGTATATTCATTCTCACTTCTGTCATCTAGATCTGTTGTATCTATTTTTGAACTTGATATAAATGGAATCACAGGAAACACTTTCTTGGGTTTGGCTTCTCATTCAACAAAATGGTGTGAGTCGTGAGAGTCAGCTTCATTCTCAAGTAGAGCAGTTTCTTTTTACTGTTGAGTAGTCTTCCTTTAATGAATAAACCACATTTTACCCACTGTACTGTTGCTGGGCTCTTGGGTTGTTTCCATTTCAGGGACAATATGAGTAAAGCTACCACAAACATTCTTCTGTTACAAATGAAACACTCACTTCACTAGGATACATACCCAGGAGTGGATGTGCCGGCTCATGGCACATACCTTCACTAGATTCCACCAGTTTTCAAAGAGACTGTACCCATCTACAGCCCTGCCTGCAATGTACCAATACCAAATGACTGAGCTTTTTACAGTTTAGCCATCCTGGGGTGTGTTTTCACTTGCATTTTCCTGATAACTAGTGATGTTGGACATCTGATCATATGCTCATGGGCTATGTGGGGATCTCCTTTGTAAGCAGCTGCTCAAGTCTTTTTTTTGCCCATCTCTTTCTTGGGTTTTCTTTGTTGTGGCAACTTGCAGGACAGTATTCTGCATAAGGTGTCCTGTCAGAAATGTGTACTGCAAGTGCCTCCTCCTGGTCAGTGGCTTGCCACTTTACTCTCACAATGTTCTCTCGATGAAGTTCTTCATTTTACTGAACGCCACCTCATTAATCTTTTCCTCTGGTCATCTATCTAACAAATCTGTGCTGTAAGTCTTGCGGATATTTTCTGATGCTTTCTTCTCAGATCTTTCTTCTCTTAAATCTTTCTGATTCTGGTCTGTTATCTCTAATATTATGCACTCAGGTGGGAGCTTTTCCTCCCACACACATCAAACTGACCCAGCCATCTATGGAAAATACCTACTTTCCCCCACTGAACTGTAGTGGCACAAACTGAATACACACAGGTCTGTTTCTGTGCCCTTAATCCTGTCCCACTGGTCATTCGAATGCTGTGCTAACACCTCACTTTTTAGTTATAGCAGCATCAGAGTCGGCCTTGGTATCTGGTAGTATAAGTGTTCCAACTTTGTTCTTCTAAAAGCTTGCCTTGTCTTTTCAAACCTTTGCGTTTCCATGTAAATTCCAGAACCAACTTGTCAATTTCTCACTAAAGAGCTTGCTGATACTGAGATTACACTGAACCTATACACGAATTTGGGGAACCATCCCATCCAAAAATATTATGTAGATCTTTTAAGTTCTCAAAGCAATGGTTTTTATAGTTTTCACTAGAGGTGCTACACATCTTCATGAACTCTACTCCTGGTCATTTAATGGTTTTGGTGCCATTATACAGCACACACACACACAAATATATTTATATTTGTTAATTTCATTTTCTAATGATTTGTTGCTAGCATACAGACCTGCCACCTTTTCATCCCCTCCAACTAGGTGAGGTAGGCCATATGAATTCTCATTCTACACCTGAGGAAATTAACACCTTGGGAAGAAGAAGAGAACAGCCACAATCACTCAGAAAGGGAAGTCCAGTGCCAGGTCTCAAAGTCTAGGCTGTCTTTAAAATTCAAAAATTAAAATGACCAAAACTCACTCTGCCAGCATGTAAGGATCGGTTCAGGCCTCACCTGTTGTCCAGGATGGGCCCTATCTTCTGCAGGGACTTGGCCACGTTGAAGCGGACATTGGCGACCGGGTCCCCAGCCATACGCAAGACTGTGGGAAGCATGTGCTTGGTGGTGATGTCCTGCCCACAGACCTCAGACAGCACCTGGGGGTGAGTGGCAGAGGGGTGATCATCCAAAGTTCATGGCTGACTCCCATTTCCCCCTTCCCCTGACCAGGCCACCTTGGTGATCACCAGGCCTGAGGGTAAAGCGGAGCAATTTGAGGACTCTGAGCCCAGAGTTACCTTCCCCGGGGACAATTCATCTTCCTGAAGCTCCTTCCTCCCCTAACACCCTCCTAATACCACTATTTCCTGGCGCTGGTAAACCCCCAGCCCAGGTGGCCCCAGACCCATCCTCAGACTTCCCTTCATCCTCTCGGGATGGGCCTTGATTCCTAAACCCTGGGATCCCTTCCTTAGTTCAGTGGTCTCCAAGGTGAGGCATAGGCATAAATTACTTGAACACTTAGTTATAACTGTTTTTAAATGTTATCCTTTCGCCCTGGCTGGTGTGGCTCAGCGGACTGAGCACCGGCCTGTGAACAAAAAGGTCGCTGGTTCAATTCCCTGTCAGGACGCATGCCTAGGTTGTGAGCCAGGTCCCCAGCTGGGTGTGTGTGAGAGGTAACCAACTGATGCTTCCCCTTGCACATTGGTATTTCTCTCTCTCTTTCTCCCTTCCCCTCCCCCTGAAAATAAGTAAATAAAGTCTTTTAAAAAAACCCCACAAAACACATAAAAAGATGTCATCTTGTTATTTCTAACCACATGTATGGTTTACTGAAATGACTACAAAAGAGCACTTGCTCTTATCACTTAACTGTTCTAAGCCCTTTGCATGTACAACCAGGTTATCGTCACGACCTGATGAATGAAGTACTGTGACTGCCGGCACGAATCCTTTCCCGATGAGAAGACTCAAGTACTTAGCAGTGAGGTCTGTTTCCCAAGGTCCATAGTTAATACATGCAAGAGCTAGAATTAAAAACCAGGTCTGTGCCCTGGCTGGTGTGGCCCAGTTGGTTGGAGCATCAACATGTAAACTGAAAGGCTGAGGGTTCAATCCCTGGTTAGGGCACGAACGAGAGGCAATCGATCGATGTTTCTCTCCCTCCCATCCCCCCCCTAAAATCAATAAGCATATCCTCGGGTAAAGATTAAAAAACAAACAAACAAACAAAAAAAACAAAACAGAAAGTAGAAACTAGGTCTAAGCCTTGCCGGGTGGCTCAGTTGGTTAAGGTTTTATCCTGATACACCAAGGTTGCAGGTTTGGTCACTGGTCAGGGCACATACACCAATCAACCAATGAGTACACGAATAAGTGGAGCAATAAACTGATGTTTCTCTGTTTCTCTCTCTCACTCACTTCTTTTCTCTCTAAAATCAGTAAAAAAAAGAAACCAACTAGGTCTGATTCTAGAGCCTGCACATTTTCACATTGTATCATAAATAAACACACACGCCCTGTTCATGGGAAAGGAGAGGGTGCTCAGAAAGGTTTGGCTATCACTGCTTCAACAGTCCAAGTGCCTTTCCCTTGTCCTCGGTTTCCCACCAGGCAGGAACCCATGCCCAGAGGACATGCGACTCTGGGGGAGCCCCAACCTCTGGCCTGCAGTTCCCCAGTGTCACATCCCTGCCACCCCAGGTCCCCACCACCTCCCCACCCCTAAGCTAACCGTCTCCCCTGAGGACTCCCTGCCCTCGCTCTCCCAGTCACGCCCAGTTCCTAGGGACAGGCCAGTGGGCAGGAGGGGGTGCTCACATTGATGCAGAAGAGTGTAGTCATGCGGTGCAGGTAGTTGGGGTCCCCAGACATGGCCAAGACCTTAGGGATGATAGTGGCATGGGCCCACTCCTTCCCAAACTTCTCCACCAGCTTCTTCAGGTTGCTGGTGGCCGCCTCGCGGATGGCATAGACTGCAGGAGGGCAAAGGAGACAGGGCAGGCCTTCAGGAGGGGGAGGGCTGATGTGGGCGAGAACTAACAGCCCCGCTCTCTACTGCCTCTTGAGCAGCCCCTAGGTCTCAGGCCACTGGTGACCCAATGGCTCCAAGAGGACAAAAGGGCTCACTATGTGCTAAATGTGGACTTTTCTTTTCATGCAGTATCCTCTCAACAGCCCCAAGACACAGGTTCCATTACTGGCCTCATTCTACAGACGGGCCAATGGGCTTTAAGAAGTGGTATGCCAACGCAAAGGATTTAGTACTTAGTACTCGGAATGGTACCTGTCACAGACAAATGTTAATTTCTACTTTTTTACCAGTCTTAGTGAAAACAGTGAGCAATGCTCACAATGGCCCTAAAACGCTGGGATGAGAAGTCCCATGTTTCACAGAAGGTGTGTGGTAATGACTTGCTTATAAGCTTCAATAGCCCGGGGGTGCAATTCAAACCCAGGCCTGTCTGCTCGGTGGCCCTCGGACTCTCCACTCCACCAGGCAGCCCCTGGGTGGCCTGTTATGTCCGACCCTACACTTCTCCAGGATTCTAAAAAGCAAGGGAATTGGTCCGCATCTGACGCACAGGAGAGTGAGCGGCTCCAGCCTGCCCAGTCCCCGCACTGGCCTCGGCCAACTTGCCGCCCATCTCCCTAGTGCCCCATCTTACTCACCGTGATCCACGAGCCAAGCCATGCACAAGGAGTTGAGTTTCTCATCAAAAAACTCCACCCCCTGCAGGACAAAATGAAGTAAGGGATGGAGGGACACTCGGTGTTTTCCCGCAACCCCCCAACAGACAGACCCTTCTCAGCTCTCCAGAGGGGCTCCTTTCCCTTCTTTTCCTAATTGAATTCTATTCATCTTCTAGGGCCCTATTTCCTGTGCCCCTTCCTCCCACTCCCCAGGCAGTCCTTAGCTTGCAGTACTGGTCACAGCTCCCTCGTCACACTGCACCGTCACTAGACCCTGGCAGTTCCTCTCCCTGGCAGTAGGCCTGGCCTCCAGCCTCCTCACTCACCAGCTGTCCAGCCAGCAGGGGCATGTACTCGATGATGGCCAGCCGCACCCGCCACTTGGCGTCCTCAGCCAGTTCCACGATGGCAGGGAGCAGGGACTGGGACAGCTGCCGGATGCCGATCACCTCGTTTACACAGTCCAGGTTGGAGATGATGTTCAGCCGCACCTCCGGGCACTGAGGAGAGGACGGGAGGGTTCTGAGAGCATGCGCTGTACATGGCGACCCAGGACAGGGTGAGAAGAGCTCAACCGCACCAACTCTGTGTGACAAACATCTCCTGAGGACCTACAACTGCCCAGGCCCAGCTCCCAGCCCTAGGGACATAGTAAAGGCACACAAAAAGCAAACAACGTGGAATAAGGGAAGCAGCTTTTCAAATCTTGTAAAAGCAGCACAAGAAATGTTCAGCTATTTTGAAAGTCTTGTAGGACTCACTGCAAAAATATGGAACCCTGGAAAAAACAGACGTTAATAATCCCACTCTGCTGTTTGCTTGCTGGGAGCCCTTCTGGATATCAATCTGTGACAAGGAAACATCCATCCAGCCTCAAAGGGTGGGTGAAGCTAATCAAGTGCTTGCCACAGTGTCTGATCCACAAAGAGCTTAACACTGCGGGAGCGTATCATGATCATTTCTATTACTTTTATTCTCTCTGCTGGTCCTTGAGCTCCGTTAGGAGCACATCTCACTCATCCCTCTGTCTCTAGTACTCAGCAGAGTCTGTGGCCCAGAGCAGGTGCTCGGTACATTGCTGCTGAAAGAATGAACAATGAAAGAAATATTTTCACACTGCCTGTTGACTACCAATATTATAAGCACTGATTTACAATTCACATATACAGACCCCACCTACCTTCCATAACGTATGTGAAGTAACTTAAAAGACAAGGCACATGAACACAATTAGTTCTTGTTAATCAAAACAGGAGACCTACCAGATCCTTGTCCTGCACTGCATATTCTGGAGAGTAGACTCACTGGCTAGCCCCTTCTAATGTGAATCAAGTAAGAAATGAATCAATGAAGCAAGTGAGCGAGCACACAGTGCAGTAAAGGGTTACCCAGCAGGCTGGAACATTCCAAAGGACTGGCCCTTGCCTGGCTCCTGGGAGGTGGTCTCTGAGCCCTGGACTATCCTTCCTGGTTAGTGTCTCTGTTTACCTCGATGCCTGGGGCCAAGCCAGTCAGTCTGTGCTAACCACCTGACTTATGGTAGGGGACTGAGGACATGCAGTATCAGCTTCAGCTCTGAGGGGGTTGGGACACAGTAACTAAGGTCAGCCAGGCCGGTGGCCCCATCCCAGGCCAAGGTAAACTTCCCTAGCAGGAGCACTTCGTCTTGTCACACATCATGGGTGGGAGATGCGAGTGCTTTCCACGTGATTCCAGTGGCAGAGGACAACTGGAAACTGGTGGCCCTGTACCTCCCTGGCTGCAGGACTTCACTCTTTTCGACAATAGCCTCAGGGTCCCTTCCTAACACCCATGTCCATTCACCAGACTTCAGTCCACACTCCTCAGGCTGGGACCCATGAGTTCTCCAGCCATTGCCCAGCGCTTTCTATCACCTTCTGTAGCCCAGACCAATTAAGCCAGGGGTGCTCACGTGACTGGCTCTGGTCAATGGGGTGCATGGGGTGCAAGCAGGCTGATGGGTGCTCACACCTCTCTCCTCTTTTGGGCACTGCTCTTAAAGGCCTACGCCTGCTGTTGTCCAGTGCCTTCTCCCTTCGTGCAGGCTGGGATGTGGTAAAAATCAGAGCAGCTGATTCAGACCCGGAGGGCGCTGAGGAAGACAGAGCTGAATGTCCACATAGGCTCACCCACCTCTGGACTGCTGTGAGAGAAACAGTTCTCCATCTTATTTAGGCCACTGTATAAAGGGGCTTAGCCTGTACTGCAATAAACATGAACATGTCAGAACACCTGTACTGTCATGGAATCATGGGATCACCCATATGTCTCTCTCCACCACCAACCTCTGCGGGTCTCTGAGAATCAAAATCATCTTGTCTTATTCTGGCATCTCTGACACTCAGGAAAAGGCCTAGCACAGAGTAAGGGCATGCAAGACCACCACCCAACAAACGAACAAGTGACTGCACAACCGTGTCCACATTCACTCATCAGAGACCTGGGCGTCTGCTGAGACCATAAGAGATAACTGGCTAATCTGGGAAAACAGCTGACCCACCACTGGTCACCTCTGCAAACCCAAGAGTTCAGAGGCTGCCTGGTGCCCTTACCTCATCCTTCAGCTGAGCCAGAAAGAGGGGCAGGAGGTGCTCGATGGTGTTGTCTTTGCCCAGGATGGGAGAGAGGCCCATGATGACAGAGGCCAGGGCCGATTTGACGTGCTGGTTGGCATCGGACACCAGCTCCTGGGCGCAAGAAGAAAGGGGCGGCCACGGGGTTAGTGGCCAAGTATACTCCAGTGCCTATGAAGCCCGAGTCATAGTCTGCTTTTGCCCTTGTCACTCACGGAGCAGGGACAGCTTAGGCTACAAGGGGAATTACAGTTCCTTATATGTCCACCTGCTTTGAGTTCAATATCCCTGCTCTGGCAGTGCCCATCTGATCACAAAGCTTTCTGGACATGGGGACTCAGTGGCCTTTGAGGGGAAACACTCCTATGTTGCAGCTTAGCTCCCAGCCTCAGATTTTGCCTTCCATCAGGGTCCCCAACTACCTCAAACTCAGGGTGGCCTGGTCCTAGAAGGCTGGGAACTCAGTTTGCATCTGGCTGTCCCTCAAGCCCAATCTCCACCTTCTTTTCGGAAGGCTCCGGTCTGCTCTGTTCCTCCCAACTCCCCTTTACCTTGATGCAGGGCAAGATCTGGGTCATGATCACATTCTCCCGACAGTCAGCTGAGAGATTTTCACAGAATTCTGTGGACGGGGGAAGGGAGGAGGGGAAGTTGAGACCTGATGCCCTGGTTCCATCCCCACCACCTCCGACACCCAACCACTTCAGGTGTTCTGGTCGCCAGCACCAACCTTTGACCTTGTGGGAGGCTGCGGCCCTCACCTCGGCCTCACAGTCTTTCATCAGGTTCTGGAAGGCGGGGACCAGGTCTGTCTTGGTGATCTCTGGCCCCACGGCTTTCTGGAGCTGCAGAAAGGGCGAGAAGTGAGGGAAAGCGAGAGGGTTTGGTAAGTACTCTGTGCAAATGAGACCAAAATCAAAGTTAGAGGTACCTGAATTAGAGGCAAGAGTATGACCCTTAAAATCACTGCCAAGATCTAATCCTGGCCCAGGGCGTGACCCCAGGCAAGTCTCCGGGCCTCCGAGCTGAGGGTTTCCTCACTATGCGGGGGAGCTGGGCTGGGTAAGGTAGTGGTAACGAGTGTGGCTCTGCAGTCCAGTTGCCTGGCTCAATTTACTTATCAACTGTGTGCACTTGAGCGGGTCACTTTGTATCTCTGATCTTGTTTCCTCCAAAGCAAAATGCAAAACAAGGTACTTACTGCATGGTGGTGGTGTCTAATGAAAAATATGAGACCTCCATATGGCTCAGGCTACTTGGGTTGGATTTTCTGCTACCTGATCCACAAATATTCTGATACTATAGTGGTTCTTGCTGTTTGACTTATGTACTTCTCTTTTTTTTCTTTTTTAAAGACTGGTTTCCAAGAGCACTTTTGTAACTAATGGGGAAGAAGGTATGCTGGGCCCTGCCTGTCCCAACATCAGGGTCCTACTGCAAAGGTGGGTCTTGAAGACCTGGTAGGGAAGCAGCATGGCTCGAGCTAAGAAGGAGATAAAGACCTTGAAGGGGCTAATACTATGCTCGGCAAATGTCGCCTTATATGCACATAACAAATGTACTATTTAGCACCTAAGATCCCTGCTCTCACAGAGCTGAGCTTTTATTTAACCGCAGTGGGAACCAGGTCATGTTGTCCAGGGCCCAAGGACAGGAAGGAGCCTCTATAGGCTCCTGCCACAGCCATGGCAGCAGAGCCACGCTGTGCTAACATTCTCACAGAGGACAATGGGTGGTCCTGGGAAATGTCATCCTCAGGCTCCACGTTCTTCCAGCAAACAACAGGGGGATACTCGGACAGAAACAGGGAGCCACAGGGCAGGCTGGCTCCAAGGCCTCTCCGGATGGGCCCTGCCCGCCTCTCCACTCCAGCTTCCACTCTGAAGGACCCCCAGGAGCCAGCCCTGAACGTGCCTGTCTGTGCCTGCCCTCCCCTCCACGGTTCCTCTGCATGTGCTGCTCTTTCGCTACGTGAGTTCCCACACTAGCTCTCACCCACTCATGTTCTAGAACCAGCTGTTACACCACCTCCTCTCCTTAGCGCGTCCACACCCATGTGTGTGTAGGCCCTGGCACCCGGGACACATGACTGTGACATTTATCTCACTGGACATTCCCCTTTAGGCCTTCTGCTGCGCGAGAGACAGGAATATGCAGAACTCACAGCCTTCCAGTGCCCAGCAAAGAACTGGAGCTCGACCCACATGCCAGTGGGATCAAAGCACATCTGAGTCCCGTTGACAGAGCACTGTCCAGGGAGTCAGAGATGTGGGATCTTGTCCCTGTTCTGTCTGCCTGTGGTGTCATTCTGACTCACGAGGCTTTTGGGCAGCGTGATGGGCGAGCCTGTGCTCCCCCCACCAAGATTCACATGCTGAAGTATTAACTCCCCAGTATCTCAGAATGTGACTGTGTCTGAAGGCAGGGTGAAGCGCCCTGAGGTCACTAGGGTGGCCCTGATGCAAAATGACTGCGGGTGTTACAAGGGGAGATTAGGACGAACATGTGCACAGAGGGACGACCACATGAGGACAGAGGGAGAAGAGAGCCATCTGCAAGCCAAGGAGAGAAATCTCAGAAAAACCACCCGACTGACACCTTCAGACCTGTAGCCTCCAGAACTGTGAGGAAATGGAGTACACCCAGTGTGTGGTACTTTGTGGCAGGAGCCCCAGCAAACTCATACAGGCTATGCCATCCCTTTTGTCCAAGGACAGAAAGTTTGATCAGGTCAGGAAGGCACACGTGCTACCCATCTCTGCTCCTGGGTGTCCTCTCCCACAGAACCTGGCCCTCAGAGCCTTCTCAACATGGTGCTTCGAGCTGCCACTGTCAAGAGACCAGGCTGGCATGTGAAGAGCTCCGATGGGATGATCAGAGGTCCCGCTGCTCACACACCCGACGATGCCACCGCAATGAACTGAAACCCGGCTGCTACTCGTGCCATCCCTTGCCGCCTGACAGCCTCACTCACTTCGCTTACATATGAGACACTGTCAACGGCCCCTCACTTACCTCTGTGAACTTATCAGCCACCATGTATCGGACACGCCAGGACTTGTCCTCAGCAGCCTGGCGCAGGGTGGGCATCACCAGGGCCTCCAGATCCTCCTGGGGCAGGAGCTGGGCGATGTTCACGCACGCCTCCACCGCCAGCAGCCGCACTGAGTCCTGGGGGGAGGATGGGGGCAGGAAGAGGGCAGCGGAGGCCCCGTTAGCCCTGGGATTCCCTTTCTGACGCAGGGCTCGCCAGAGGGAGGGGCTGGGAAGGGCTGAGAACCTACCTGCTCGTCGGAGGCTAGGTTGGAGAACATGGGGATGATCTCACTCTTGACGTTGTCCAGCTCCAGCACCTTGGCAAACTCCCCTAGCTTGGAGGCTGCGGCCCGCCGCACCATGGGGGTGTCATCTGAGCACAGGTTCCGGAAGTACCTGGGGGTTGGGATGGGGCTTAGGAGGAGGAATCCTGGGACATCATGGCAGAGGAGCAAACACACTGTACTCACAGGGGTCCTGGCTTTGCCTGGTGACCCTGGGCACCTCTGCATCTTCCCTGCCCTATATAATGAGCGGATAGGGAGAGCACCTATTCCACAGGTCATTGTGAGGCTTCAATGAGTTCACATGTGTGAGCACGCAGCAGCCTATCGGCACATGAATCTGTAGAGAACGGCAGGCGCTGACTGTATTCTAACAACCACACATAAAACTACGTAGCTCAGATGCTGCCCTGGGGTAACTCAAAGGTTTTACTTTTCAGCAATGACTTCTCCTGCCAGAGATGCAGCGGGCGGAAGGAAGCTGTCCACCTGTACTCTGGGTGAGTAAGGGCTCAGGGCCTGGGCTTGCTACTCAAACGTCTGTGGGGTTGGTGGGTGCGCAGACGTCCAGAGGGAGAAGGAAAAAACACACATTAATGGAAACTTCCATCCAATGAAAATCATTTTCATTCATTCTTCAGGAAGGCAAGTCTTGCACACAAGGAATTCCCTGAGCTATCAGGCCAGGGGGAGGAGTGTGGAGGAGGCAGAACTAAGAGACAGTGTCTCTGCCAAGGGTTCTGCACCTGAGGCAGGCCTAAGACAGTGCCACACGTCACCTGTCATGTGGTTTTACGTGCCAGGTTCTGTTCTAAGCACTTTATACGTAATAATATTTTTAAATCCTCACAAGAACCAACGGGAGAAAGAACTGTCATTTCTATGTCCTAACTGAACTAGAGGCCGCATCTGGGTTGGAGACCAGGCCCTTGGTGACAGCTTCTCTGACGGGTGGGAAGGGAGTCTGGGGCTGAGAGAGCTCAAGGGTGTTTGGGACCTGGGGAGGTCTAAGTGGTCTGGGGCTTGAGATAAGCAGACCAGGCTGGGGGAAGAGGCTGAGCTCCTCAGGCCCCATGGCCAGGACTCACTGTCGAAGTTCTGCCTTGACGGCACTGGACACGCGAGGATAGCAGACGGAGAAGAGGCCGCAGGCTGAGGTACGAGAGGTGAACCAGTCGCCGCCCGCCAGCCGCTTCACCAGCGGCACGAAGTGGGCCTCCAGGTCAGAGGGCGAGTGCTCGTGTGAGATGGCCCGCAAGGACTCCACAGCCTTATCCCGTACCACTGTCTCCTCCACGGTGGCCAGCGACTCCAGGGGCGGCTGTGGCATAGAGTGTAAGGTCACAAGATGGCTCCTTCCCCACCACCCCTGGCCCTGGAGCCGCCGCTCTCCACGGGTTCATTTTCTCCAGAAACCTGTGATCGTCCCTTCCCAGCCTTCACCCTGCATGCCTTCCCTGAAGAACCAAGACACGGCTCATTTAGAGGTCCTTAGAGGAGCGTCGGTGGGTGGGTCCAGGAACCTCAAAATGATAACATCATTTAAAAAAAAACAAAACACCTTTGGAATTTCAAAGCAACTTCCCCTCCCTCTTTTTTAGATTTTATTTAACGCCTACTTACTATGTGATCTAGCACAGCTGGTTCTAACTATGAAGCAGGTCCTGTTTCTGTCTTCATTTTAAAGAAGAGGGACCTGATGCACAGACAGGCTAGAAAGAGCCACACTCCGGGCTCTAAACCAGGCCGCCTGACTCCAGGGCCTCCAAGGGCTGAAAAGCACGGCTGTGGTTTTGGACAGGCGCCTCTATCAGGAGTTCACATTAGCAGGGGACCCCAGGGCTCGGGACTGCTCAATGGTTTGTTAGTGTGAGGCCTGGAGGGACACTTGATTGGCTCACCTCTGTGTCCCCAGAGCCCAGCAGAGCTCCTAGCACAGGGCAGGACCTCAGGAAGCACTGACCTAAGGAAGGGAGAGGCAATCATTCTATGCTGTTCAAGTAAAGGTGTGGAGGTCTGAAGTCCAGTGTGGCCTGACAGATACAAGACAACAGGAAGAAATCGCAAAGGAAAATGCTGCCAGGCAGGTAGCCAAAGGAAGTGCTGAGCAAAGGTGACAGGTGGGGACAACAGAGAGAGGCAGAGACCGTGGCATGTGGCCTGGGCAGGAAAGCTGCTTCCCAGCTCATCAACCATCACTGGGGTGGGGGGCACGGACACAGCTGGTAAAAGCCAATCTGGTTTTCCAAGAGGGGCCAAAAGGACCAGGTTTTAAGTGTAATAAAATCTCATTTAACATGGGCTACATCATGGGTGGACCTTCAAGTCATTATGCTAAATGGAATCAGCCAGCCCTGACTCCCGCAGATGCGGAAGGTGGAACGGTGGTTTCTGAGGGCGGGGGTGTCACTGGTCAGTGAGCGCAGCGTTGCTTTGGGAGGATGAGAAAGATACGGAGACGGACGGTGGGGACGGCTGCTCCACCACGTGAATATACACAGCGCTGCGCGCTTAGAAATTGTCAGAATGGGAAAAACACATGTATATTTTATCACAAAAAGACATTTTAAAACAAATCAAATAAAGAAGTTTTTAAAAATCTCATTTACAAAAGGTTGGCAATGATTCAAGAGGCAAATGTAACGCTGTCCCGGCGTGGGGCCCCCGGCGCGAGGCCTCCATCGTGGGCCCTGCTAGCTCTCACGGGGTTTGGGGTTTGGGGTTTTGGGTTCAGGGACGGCTCACGGGGGTGCGGTGGGAAGGTGATGTCCCTGGGCTACTGCAGGGACCGGCACAAAGGAGGCACTCAGTGTTTACCAAGTGACTGGAACTGGAACTCACAGTAACCTGTTATTGTCACAGAGGCCTGGGGACCCAGGCTGAGCCGTAGTTAGTCATGGGTCCGTGCCTCCGCGGCTTACTGCAGGGACAGGTTCTTGCAGGGCGGAGCCGGGACAGCTCACCCCGAGGTCACCCAGGAGGCCCTCCCCAGCACACCGTGAAGAATCAGAGTCTAGGGTGGGGCCCAGGAAGGTGCACAGTCAGGAAGGGCCAGGTGAAGACTCCTGTAATGGAGCCAGTCTGTGAACGACCGAGGGCAGCGTTCTCAAACTGAGACCAGGTTGCGAGGGATGGGGAGAGGTGTGAACGTCCTAAAATCATCTGTTCTCCCGACAAGAGAAGGTCCAGATTCTCAAAAGGATCCACCACTCCAAAAAGGTTAGGCGCTGTGGATACAGAAATAATCTGGGCACTGCAGCTTCATGGGTCCCCAGGAAATTAATTCCACTTTACCACCATTGAGACCGAGGGCTGGGTCGTGGCTGGCACCCTTCTGGGTTCCCACAGCTCACAGTCCTTGGTCATGTGTGTGGAATAAACAACTTCACAATAGCCGTTTTCCATTTCTCATATCTTGTCAAAATCCAGGTTAACTGCCTCCTCCTCCAGTAAGCCTTCCATGCCCCTCACCCCGATCTCATCTAAACTGGGTTGGGTGCCTCCTCGGGGTTCTAAGGGCCCTGACTCCCCTCTTTCCTGGCTCTGAGCAGCCTTTGAAGCATCCAGGAGCCCTTTGAGGATGGTACAGCGGGGAGATAGTGGTTAAGAGGCAGCAACCTGGGTTCAAATCCTGCCTCTGCCTCTTTCCAGCTCAAGTAATTCCCTTAAACCAGTCAGTGCCTCGGCCTCCCACCTGTGATCTGGGGGATTTCTCACAGGGGCGCTGTGGGACATGACGGGTTACTGCGCCTCAGGTGCTCGGCACATACGCCACACTGAGCACTTGCGTGAGTGTCAGCCACTCTGCCTGACTCCTGCCTGGGTCCCAGCGGGCCTCAGGATGTCCGCACTGGCCATTCCCAGAGGTCACGTGTCACTGCTCCCCAGAAGGAAGTGTGGGAAGACCCTGCCCCAACTGCGGAAGGACCCCTGGGTGCCAGGGCCGGCTCCCAGCGAGCCTGAGCCCTACCCCACCTGTGAGCCCTGGGGTTCTCAGCAGTGTTTTCTGCTCAAGTCCCTTGAAAAGTTGCTGAAAGCTTTGAATTCTCTCAGAAAAGATGACCAAGGCCAGTGGCTGCAGAGGGTTCCATGGAGTTCAAAGGCCCCTTTCAGGCTGATTGCCGGACCTCCCATTCCTCTTGTTACACAGCCCTGTTCTACGAGAAATGGAAATGAACTCATTCACGCATAACTTTCTGTGTACGTATGCACGTTATACATGTACACACGGATGAAAGCTCAGATACCACCGCTGAATGGCAATTACCAAATTCTCTTAGACTTAATGCTGTTTGAGAGAAACAAAATGATCACATTTGCTGAAATCCAAGGTATTTTATATACTGCTAAAAGGAACAATGGCGGCTGATGGTAACTGTAGGAACCATCAAGTGCAGAAGCCGAAGTAGGAAATGTGTCTTTAGAAACAATGAACTACAGAACGACGAGGGGGACGTGGGGACCCGGGTCTGAGGAACAGAGGAAACCACAGCCTGGGGCATCTCTTTCTTCCCAGGTTACAGGACTGGGGCTCTTCCCTGAGGACCATGGGAGTCCTCCCTCCTCTCCCAAAACCGCAGTTACTGTTGGCATCTGACCCATGTCTGCGTCCCTGGCCATCACACGTGCAGGGCCACACAGGCAGGTAGCAGACGGGGGCCTGGGGGAGAGTCAAACAGACACACCCAGAATCCCGGCTCTGCCACTTATTAGCCATGCGACCTTGGACAAAGTGCTCAACCTCTCAGTGCTCTGGTGGCTCATCTTTAGAAAGGGAACCCTCCCTAGCCCAATGGTGGACATGACCGCATACCATATGGCATCATGACAACACAGCTGACGCTTGTTAGTAGTTACTCTGTGCCAAGTACTGTACTAAGGGCTTCTTCCTCTTTGTTTTTTTTTTATTTAGGATTTTATTTATTAAGGGCTTCTTAAATTAATTATAAAGACAGGTATTAACAAAATCCATTTAGAGATAAACAAAGGATAGAATAGAGAGGTCAAATAATTTTTACACGTCACATAGTAAATCAGTGGCAGAAGCCAGCCTGACTTCGACGCAAAGCCCTGACTTACTGGATTAAAGTGAATGTCCAAGGCCCATCTGTTCTGAGGAGATTGCCCCCCTACCCAAGTGCCTTCTACATTGTCCCCTCCCTGACTCCCAAGGGGAGGGCAAGAGTAGTTCCCGGCCTTCCAGACTCACCAGCAGGCAGTGCACGTACTCCGGGCCTCCCACCAGCGTGGTGAAGGTTCCCAGCTGCTCCGCCAGGGCCAAGAGGACCTCATCCTCATCGTAGATGGTGTCTGTGGGACCAAGACAGATTGTTTCAGTCCCACCTGAAGTCTAACCCCAGGCCCTCAGTGACCCAAGCTGGAACAACCAGCCTCACTGTTCCCTCAGACTGTGGGCACTCACAGTCCCCCACCCCCTGGGGCTGGCACAGGGATCAAGGCACAGGCCTGGGTCGTATGACAGAGCACTCAAGTATCACTTCTGCCCCTGCTGAGGCGTGGGACGCAGGGTGAGTGAGACCACCTCTCTGAGCCTGTTCTGCGCCTGTAAAATGATGCTCCTTGCCCGCACCTCTCGGTGAGGGTTAGTGAGGAGCACACGGTTCGTGTGAGTAAGAGCAGAGCCAGTGCATGGAGCTTTTTGCTCGGTCCAGCTTCCACCCTCAGCACGGTCTCTCTGCCAGGAACTTCTCTCCCTGTGGCCTCAGAATTTCTTCTCCACCCTTTGAGACTTGGTTCAGCTACTGCTTCTTGCCAAGAGTTCCTGAGCAGAACAAGTGGGTCCCTCCTCTGGGCTCCCATCCCCCCATGCCACCTTTATCAGAGTCTTTGTCGTCAGAGTCCAGGCTGGCTCCTCTGTGTGTCCCAGTTCCTGCCAGATACCCTCAGAGTGGGAGCCCATTGGGTTTGCTGAAATAACTACCTAACTGTGTGAGGAGAGAACGCCTCTGTCCTGATGCTGAACCCAAAGGCTTGTCCCTCCAGCTCCATTCGGTCTTCCCCAAGGTGGCGGAGCTGCTGACCTCCTTCACAGAAGATGCTAACATCCCTAGTGTCTATGCTAGCATCGCAACTTCCTGAGTTTAAGCCAGGTCCAAAGCAATCCAGCCGGGCTGTATTTCCCAGGCTCCCCTACAGCTGACATGGACACGTGACTATGCTCTGGCCACTAGGGTGGGAGTGGAAGTGGCAGGTTTGAGCTCCAGGTCACCTCCTTACCACAGCCCTCTCATGATGTCATCACCATGGCCCCCATCTTGTGGGGCTACTCCTCTTTTCTGACCTTGAAATATCAGGGCCTAAAGGCAGATATCGAGCTACTTCCGCTGTCTCAGGGAACCTATACTCGAAGGTTTTTGCAACAAAAGCACGAGGTGTGTTCAGGGCAAACCTGGGTTTTATAAGTATACTTTTCATTAATGTCTACTTGAGTCCAAGTCTTTAAATGGCAGGTTACTATGCAGCTCAATGACAGACACACAGGTGACTTGACTGACCTTGGAACTCACCCACATCTCACAAATTATGGCCAAAAATTACCGGCACTGGTCTCTTTAACACAGTGGGGACATTATGTGTTGATTTCCCCTCATAATGCTGATTCTGAACCTTCTGTAGGCGGAAGCTCAGAGAGGGCTTTTAGCCTGTTCTGTTTGAACAGTTTCAGCTTTTCTGAAAGACAGGATGTATCTGCCATTTGCCCTTTTGAACACTTTGTAATTTCTTGAAGCCCAAAGTAAAGAAAATCTGATGTCACTTGGGATCATAGCAACTCAAAGAAGCCTTTCTCTTAAATGAGTGGCTCCTCTTCAAGCTTATGGTTCCCACGCTACTGTCTCCCACAGTCCCTTTACCTGGACTATTAATGTTATATGGGACTCGACAATATAATAAAGATAACATATATATTAAACCCCCTGAATCTTCACAGTGGCCCTAATTTTTTTGTCTGACACAAGCATTCCCATTTTGCAGGTGAGGGAATGAAGCCTGTCGAGGCGGGGACAGAACCCAGCAGTCTAGCCCTGGGGTCTCTGCTCCTGGCTCCTATCTCCCAAGTTGACGTCCCACCCCTCAGTACAATTCTGCCTTGCCCGCAGGTTTACTTCTCTACGTCTCATGCTCCCACCCTCCGCCATCTATCTACAATGGCTGCCCTGCCTTCCTCTACTGGGTTAAACCCAGGCTGCCACCTGGTAACCCATGGCCCACACTATCCAACCCACCATCACCCCCCTGCCCCGGCGCCTCTCCCTGGTGTATCGCCCGGTTCCAGCCTGCCTCTGTCTGCGGTTTCTTCTGCTTTTCCTGCCCAGGCTGCCTCCCCACCATCTCACTACAGAAATTTCCACCAGCACGCACTGAGCGTTTCCTCCGGACCAGGCTCTGTGTGAAGCACTTTCTCCTCCCACTGACCCTATGAGTTAGGTCTGACTCTTACAGATGAGGGAACTGAGGCAGGCAGGCAGGTGGAGTGGTTCACCCAGGTTTGCCAAGCAGGTTGCAGGCAGAGCCCCTCTGGGTCTCAACCCCAGGTCCCTCCCACTTTTCCTCTCTCTGCAACTTTTTAATTACTGTGTTACACTCTGTGCCACACCCCTGTTCCCTCGCTGCCTCAGAAGTTATCCCTGTCTCAGCATTTGAAAGCTTTCAAGTCTCTCCAACAGTTCTCCAGTGGAAGCCACCTGGTTTGGGGCCATCTGCTCAGTGTCACGTGTACAGACGCCAACTCCTCACGTGGCATTCAGAGGGAGATAAACCTCTGCTCCTGAGTCAGAGCTGGGTCGTTGTGGGCAAGTCCCTGTACCTCTGTAGCCCTCACTTTCTCATGAGTCAAATGAAGGACAATAAACTCCATCCCCTTCTTCTCCAGAATTGTCACTAGGTCCCAGAGAGACAATCAGATGCAAGAAAGCTCATGAGCGACAAAGCTCTGTGTCAGTCTGAGGCTTTAGTTGCAATTTTAATTAGTATAAAGTTGTAATGAGAATATTGGGAAGAGAGGGTTTACTAGTAATTGATGTCAGACAGTGCCCTGAGCGCTGTGCCTACATTTTCACAGACAGGGGTGCTTAGAACAGGCTCCTCGTTCACAGTTAAGCAGCACTCACCACATGCTGGGCGCAGTTACAGCACTTTACACGTTACCTCATTTAGTCTTCCTGTCAAGTTATATCATTATGCCCAAGTTATACTTCGCACATGAAGATATCAAAGCAGGCAGATATGAAATACCACGTCTGAGGTCACATAGCTAGAAAGTGGTAGAGCTTGGCTTTGAACCCAGGTAGTCGGGACCTGAAGGCATTAATCACGGCTGTGAGTTTGGAGCCAGCATGACTAGATAATATCCTCTCTGAGTCACTTCGTTACTGTGACCTTGAGGGCAATAAATTATTTCAAGTCTTCATGCCTCAGTTTCCTCATCCAAAAAATGGGAGCGGTCTTACCTACCTTAGGAATTGCTGTGGGATTAACTGATATGATGATGGTGACTTACATTTACTGAGCCCAAGCACCAGTCTGGGGACTGTAGGTGAATGAATGAACTCCTCCCAAGAAAGGGTTTGGCACGGTGCCTGGCATGTGGCAGGCACACAGTAGGCATTGGCGATTATTATTAGGTGCTCATCTCCATTTTATACATAAAATTATATGGAGAGTGAAGTGAATAGTCTAAGTCACCAGCTTCTAACGGCTGGAGCTGCAATTCACACCTGCCTCCACCTGCCTCCAGGCCCCTGTCCCCAGCCCCTGCTCCTAACTTCCCAGGTCATTTCCGCAGAGGAGGACTGCACTAGTCCCCAGAGTCCCTGCCCACCCGCGATGCCTAACACAGGGCAGACACTTACAAACGACCTGTTAAATCCACGGTGAGGTCCCTTACGCAGCACACACCACCCCGACAGCGCCCATTCCACCTGGGTCCCAGGAGTGCACCTCGTTACCTGTCAGGAAGGGTAGAAGCTCACTGCGCGTCCTTTCCACCCCTAGGGCCAAGGCGATGGTGGACAGCTTCTTGATGCTGTTGAGGCGAAGCTAACGAGAATAATAAAAGGAAGGGAGAATGTGAGCAAGCCCAGGCTTCAGGGCGTCTGAGTCTGACAGCACCCAGAACGAAGTATGTGTGAAGATGCCAAATAACTTGGTGAACACCAACCAAGCGACCGTGACCTTGAGTCATTAAGTCACCACGGGCAACAGCCTCAGTAAGGCATCTTTGGGGTGTTACTGAGTCGACACCCTGGCAGCGGTGCTCTCCAAGTCCATTCTGCGGGAAACCGCGCCCACCACTCCCCGACTCCCCGACTCCCCACCTGCGCTCTCACCCCCTCCTGCACCATGGGACACACTACACATCACGCTCTAACAGCAGCAGCCACGTCACAAAGCACGTCCTCTCTGCTGGCCCCTGTAACAGTCCTCCAGTGTTCTGTATGTCTGAAGTCTTCTACAATAAAACATCAGGGGAAGCAGTGACTTAGTTGCCTAACTCTTTCCTTTTTGTCACCTTCAGGCTGGGTCTCTGGGTTCGTCTGACAGCCAGGCTGTGGGGAAATGTACACATGGGCCAGGGCCGTAACGGGTGAGCAGCAGCCGAGGACAGTGAGATGCGGCAGAGGGTATCGTTGCCATGATGCCGGGAACGATTAGCAGCTCACGTTTAGCGGATGCTTTCCGTGTGCTTGGCAATGTTCAAGGGCTCAACGTGGATAATGAGCATATTTGATGCTTAGAACTCTGCTCTGAGGTAGGTACTGTTACTAGAATCTTCCCTTTACAGGCAAGGACACTGAAGCACAGAGAAGCTGTCACTTGCTGGAAAGCAGCAGAGCCAGGACCAGAAGCCAGGTGCCCTGACCCTTAATCTGAACATCACACTGTCACTTAGGGAAGATGCCCAAGAGGTGGGCCATGAGAATCAGGCTGTCTCTGCCATGGTGGAGCACCCCCATCCTCCCACTGGTGTCCTTGGAGATTCTGGTTTGCGTACTGTTAAGAGTATCTCCTGGTTTCTTCAGCAGACAGCACCACAAGGGCTTATGAAAGGCAGCATGAGCTTTGGAGCCTCACTGCCTGCGCTAAAGGCTAAGATGTTTTACGTATTAGCTGGGGGATCCGGGGCCACTGCTTTGCACCTTTCCGAGCCTCAATTATCTCATCTGTGAAATGGGATCATAGTATCTACCCTCAGAAGGTTACTGAGTATAAAGTGAGGCAATACTGGGAATACCCTTAGCATCAGAGGTAGATCAATAATGGCAACACGACCACCTCACCCTGTTGACAGCATCCTGGTTTTGTCTGAATACCAAAAAGGGCACGAATGGCAGCTGGCTAGCTGTCCACCAAGGTCTCTTTCCCCCTTTCCCCTCGAGAGAGAATAAAGACAGCAAATATATCTATGGTACTTACTATGTGCCAGGCACTGTTCTTGGTGTGTTCATGTTTTAACTCATTTGATCCTTACAACAACCTCATGAGGTAAATACAGGATCACCTCATGGCAGAGAAAGCAAAGGCCCCGGGAGGTGAAGAAACCTCATGTGCTTGGAGGTGGCAGATGCGGGATCTGAATCCTAGCCATCTGGCTCTTAACCTGTAACCACTAACGACCTGTATTTGGGTTGTTTTTTTTAATTGGTGGGGGGAAGGGGGACCCGTGGACCCCTTTAGCAGGTCTAATAATGACCATGATTTTGAAACAGAGATGAGCATAAACACTAGAAGTAACTGCAATGGCCAAAATGAGAAAGGAACACTGTCATAATTTCCATTGGTGACAGAGTCATAGGTTTTGCTAGTGCTACTTATAATATGCTCTTGTCATACTAGAGTTCATAATAAAAGGGGAAGTTAAATTTGAGTTAGAGCTTAGGGAAAATAAAGATGTTATTCTTCCCATACAAATTCATGGACCTGCCCTGGAAATATATAGGTTAAGAGCTGCACTGGCTATACTATTGCTCCTTAACCCGTGGTTTTCAGCTGTGCACATGACCCCTACCCCACCCTCAAGAAGAGACATTTCCTAATCATATCTGCTTCTGGATTTTACCATGAGACTAAAGTCTGGCCAATGAAATCCAAGTGGGAATGGTGCGTGAGACTTCTAAAGAGTGTCCTTATGGGAAGATCGGGTTGGGTCACAGCTTTTTCCCATCCTGTCTGGAATGGGGCTATGATGGCTGGGGCTTTAGCAGCCACCTTGGGACCTTGAGGTAACCTGTGGGATAAGGAGGGCAGAACGGATGACAGGCAAGCCTGGGACCGTAACACCACCGAGTGCCACACCAGCTTGTACTGCCACCAGACTCTGATCGTGAGAAAGAAAGAAACTTCACTCTTTTAAGCCTCATTTATGTAGTTTTCTTATTACTTACAGCTAAACCGAATCCCAACTAACTCAGCACATGACCTAGTTTTGGAGAAAGAAACACAAGAGCAAGTCAGCTGAAGAGCTCTCCAAAAAGATTTTCTTCCTGACAAAAGAAGGACAAGAAGAACCTCTGTCCTAGGATAGCCCCTGCTTTTAGCAAGGACTTAATGAGAGCAGATGCTGCAGCAAGCTTGTGACCACAGGAAGAAGGTGAAAAGGGCACACTCTGACCCAATTCTGTAATATTCTTGTTAGTAATAGAGGGAAAAATTAACCCTTTACTTATTTAAACGACTACTCGTTGAGTTCTCTGTAACATTTCTGATAGAGCTGCTATTAGTATCAATAAGTAATCTTCTCATTTAAGGAGTGCTTACTCTGTATAAAGCTTATGTTCTATCTTGTGATTTTTTTTAAAAAATTGTATTTATTTAGAGAGGGGAAGGGATAGAGAATCATTGATGTGTGAGAGATATATTGATCAGTTGCCTCTCACATGCCTCCAACTGGGGACCTGGCCCACAACCTAGGCATGTGTCCTGACTGGGAATCGATTGGCAAACCTTGGGTTCACAGGCCGGCGCTCAATCCACTGAGCCACACCAGCCAGGGGCTCTTGTAATTCTTGTAACAAACCCATGAGGCAGATATCACCTTTGCTTTTATAGACAAGGAAACTAAAGCACTGAGAGGAAAATGCAGGTCACCCAGTGAATTCGTGACAGGGCATGGAACCTGAACCCACATTCTTCATCACCATCATACCAACTTCTTTTTTAGTTTAACTCTCAGAGGCAACCTTATTTCTAAGTTCTACTTCATGAAGTCCCCAGGCGCTCTATAAAAAGGGGTTGGAGGCTGTCACGTCCTGTTTCTAAGATCTGGATATAGCCAAGCTGCTGTAAGGTCTTAGTACCCTGGCTGAGTGTGTCTTTCACTTTTTTTTCCACTTCACAATAAAACGAAGGCCCAGAAGGGTTGAGTAACTCATAGCACGGACAGACCCTGGTCAGCCTTCTCCCACAGCACTGCCTCCAGTGCACTGACCCCAGGCCTAGAGTTTCCTATTGAGCAAGGGGCCATAAGCCAAGAAATACAAGCATCGTCTGAAAGCTGGGAAAGGCAAGGAAACAGATTCTCCACTGGAGCCTACAGGAAGGAAGCAGCCCGGCCAACACCTCGGTTTTAGCCCAGTGAGACCCCTGGCAGACTTGTGACCCTCAGTTGCATCACTGTGGACATTTTGGGCAGATAATTCATTGCTGTGGGCACTGTCCTGTGAATTGTAGGTTTTGCAGCTTTTCTGATCTCTATTCACTATCACTAACATTTCTCCCGCTGTGACAACCCACAATGTCTCCAGGCTTTACTCAAAGTTCCCTGGTAGGTAAAATTACCTGCCTGCTCTTTCTTCCTGTGAGGCGCTTCCCTAGCTTCTTCCAGGGGCTGGGTCCTTCTTCTGGTCCCATCTTAAACTCTGCATCCTCAGGGGAGCCTTCCCTGCCTGGCCGGCCTCATGCCTGCTACGTGCTCTGCCCAGACAGCCTCAGGGCTCCTTCCCTTGCTGCCTCCTTTACATCTTTGTTCAAACATCATCTTCTGGGCAAGGCTTTCCTTGACCACTCTTGACAACTTCACTCCCTGCTCCTCTTCATTCTTCTCCTTAGCACTTATCTGCATCTAACAGACAACACATTTTACTGTGTTGCTTATCATGTTTCTTTCCCCTCACTACCAGGTAAGCTTGTGAGGCCAGGAGGTTTTGTCTGGTTCCCTGCTACATATCTGTACCCCAAACAGAGCAGAGGTCCCCAAAATATTTACTGGGTCACTATCACAACATCCTGCTGTTTCCTTCCCATGACATCTCACACATGTTACTCATGTATTCGGCTCTTGTTTCACATGTCTCTTGTGTAACAACCGGTGTCACCACTATATCCTCAGCAACATACCTGACAAGTGGCAGGTGTTCAGTGAACAAATGAGTTCATACAGCAGCCCTATGAACTAGATAATGACCTCCACTGGAGACACGAGGAAACCAAGGTTCAATGAGCTGAACTAACCTGCCCGTCTAAATCAGCAAGTGGAAGAGCCGGCCATACAGCCGCAGCCTGTGTGACTCCAGAACCTGCGATGCACCCGGAACCTCAGTGGCTGGGCCCAAGGCGACCGGCTCTCTTTTATACAGAGGGAAAGGGAGGCCCAAAGGGCGGATGGGACCTCTTCAGCTACCACTCCCGATAATTAGAGCTAACATTTATTGGGTTCTTACAAGAGGCCAGACACCGTTCTATGATACTCGTACCATAAACCCGTTTAGTTCCTCACCACCCCCCCAAAGAGGCCGGGGCTATTATTAAACTACATTTTATGGAAAGCAGGGGTCCAGAGCAGTGAAGTAATCTGCCCAAGGTCACGCAGCGGGTGGCAGGTGGAGCTGGGTGGGCAAACCGTAGAGTCCTAACTGTTCTCAGCCCCTCGCCAACACCAGAATGCGCCTGCCCTTTTAGTCAAATGCCCACAACTGGGACAATGGGAGGGTCCCAAGAGCTGGGCGGGGCTCCACCTCAACTCGTTCCTAAATTTAGCAGGATCCCCCTACCAGGTGGAGCGTCTTCGACCCCGATCCCCAAATTAAACCGGAAGGGAGGGCAGGAATTGGGAAGGCAGCCTTCACTTTTCAGTCCCCATCTGGGGAGTTGACTCCGGAACTCTGACGCCCAGGAGCCGAAACCCAGAAGAGAAAACAAACCGACCCGGGTCCGACCAATCAGGCGGCCCCTCCCCCACTCGGATCCAACCCCAAGGGCCCATTGGGCGGCTGCTGCCAATCGCAGAGTCCTCCCCTCTCCCCAACCCCGGCGGCCAACTTCCCGGCGGGCTGCGGCCTCCCAGGCCCATAGCCGTCGCGCGCACTTGGCAGGCCCGGGACCCTCGAGGTTCACCCTCGCTCCCGCCCTCCGCTGGGCCGACGCCCAATCCCGGGCGCCGTCTCGTCGAGTCCGGGGACCGGAGAGAAAAAAGCTGGGCGCTGATTGGCCGCCACCCCCTTCCGCCACTCCCAGCGAACACTGAACCTTTTCCGCGAGGGCCGCCCGCGCTCCCCCGTCACCTAGCCCTTCTTCCCAAAGACCCCTGTGGCCTCCGGACCTGAACATCCTCGTTGCGGAGCTCATCTATGAGCACCGCGATGGGGTACAGGGAGTCGTCGCCGTCGGCCGCCGCCATCTTGGCTCCGTCCCGTTCCTGTCAGACTGCGGCCCGCGGCGTGCCGATTTCGGGCTGGGGAGGGGCAGAGCCGGGAGGAGGAGGAAAGGCGAGCGTGGGGACACCCAAGCCGCTTCACAGGGGCTGCCCCTCGGTCATTGGCTGCCCTACCCCAGGCCGAGCCCGCATCTCTTTGGTCGGGACTAATAAAGTCCCGCCCACTGCCCTTTGCTATTGGCCGGAGGAACACTGTGAGGCCTGCCGCCGCCAAGGTCGGCGGGGAGTAGGGAATGGAACTACGTGGTATCTCAGCGACCAACATTGTATCCGCCTACGTCGCTAATAGCAACGGCCGAGCTGAGCAGTTGTTCCTAGCCCAGGACGAGCAGAATTGGGAGGAGTCGAAGCCTGCCCTTCGGCGAGCCCTGCAGAAAGCTTCTGCGCTTGCGTCCTAGGGCTGTATGACGTCCTATGGGGAGCCCAGACAATCTGCAGGTTTTGGCTTGTGAGGCCGGGGCTACGTTGGTTTACCTTTATGCCAGAGGAGGAGAGTGAGTTTTTAATTTAGTATGCCGTATCTGATGCCGAGGCCCTGGGGAGGGTGGTGATTTGCTTTGATGTCTGGATTAAAAACCAAGCCCCTCCGGGGCCCTGGCTGCTGTGGCTCAGTTGCTGGAGCGTAGTTCAGTACCGGCAAGGTTGCAGGTTAGATTCCCCCACCGGGCGTGGCTCCCAGCTCTTTCCCCCCCTCTAAAAAATAACCAAAAATACTCTGGTTTCTCTTCAGAGGGTATGAATCTTTCTCCTTTTACTAAAAAACAACGAAAAAATGTTCTTGGATGAGGATTAAAAACAAACAAAAAAAAACAAGCCCCTTGGGCTGGTCTTCAAGACCCTGGTGCCTCTAATTTCTGAACGCTCTCTAGGGACATCTCCCTCCCACTTGAGCGCTCCTGGAAAATTGGGGCCTTCGGAACAGCAAGCGCATCGCTTTGCATGCCCAAACCGTACCTCCTACTTGGAGAGCTTTTCCTAGGCAATTCTCAGATCTTTACTAAGTGTCTACCCTAACCCTGCCTCACTTCAGGCTCAGCCCTCAAGCCCGCAGAGCCAAATAATCCCTCTTCTGTCTCAAAATTTCCATCCCTGGGACTGCGCTGTGACTGTGCTTTGGAGCCTGCCTCCTCTCACAAACAGAGCTGGGATGGGCAGGCATCACTCTTCTCCTACCTCACTCAACACAGCCCCTGCACCTGCGATCTTAAGCACACTCAGAGAGCTGAGGGATGGGGTGGTGTGAAATGCTCCTTTCCCCTTTATTCTGCCATTTGAAGGGTAATCCTGGGTAGGATTTCGGGATAGGTCTGAATAACCCAAGCATCTTTCCCAAAGAATCTCTACCCAATCTAGCTAGGAAACCCAATAATGGGTTGGGGGTGGGGGGCGCTTGCATAATTCAAACCTTGACCTCCATATTCTTAGGGTTACCCCCCACCACACCAGCTCACTGAGACTGGTTCTTAGCCAAGGGTGCGCTTTCTATATCTTACAATTATACTTGTCAATGATAGCACAAGAAAGCTGAACGAAAAAGTCACAAGTGTGCCATGCAGAGGTAGCCTGCACATCAGAAACAGGCGTAATCAGCAGCTTGATTCTGGTCAGAATCTCCAAGAACAGACCCTTACCAGGGGCGTCTAAATTTAGCACTACAATTAGTTTCCACAGTTCAAGGCCCAAAAGTGGGGTGTCATCAATCTGCCAGCCTGCAGTTTTCCAAGTGGCACACTAAACAGCTAGTCCGCTGGCAGCAGTCCAGGTACCTGAGAGCTGACCAGCGAAGGGAGCCTCCATATCTGATTTCAGTTCTGCGCAGCTGGCACTGAGACAAAACAGCCACAGGGCCCAAGGGACACTGTTCAGTTCCAGCTTAAATCACCAGTGAACCAGGGCCCTGCAATTAGGGGAATTTCAGAGGATGGGGGTTCCCAGTGCCAGGGGCGTTGGTTGCAGCGTGAAACTTAAAATTTCCTACATATTTATTCCTTTAAGCCAAGATGTTGCTGGGGCCAGACTAGCTTCATTCTTGAATATGCACTTGGCAGGAAATGCAGGAATTTTTGGACCCTTCCTAGTTTGTGACTAATTCCAAAATTGTAATATCAGGCCTGTTAAAAATGAGACAGCAGGTCCAAAGTGAAGTCACTTTCAGGAAACCCCACTTCAGCAAAACAATACATAATACCTAACCTTATGGCAGTTTCAAGGGCTCTTAGAATTTAACCTTTGACCACTCCACCTGGAATTACCTGGGCAGCACCAGCGAGGTAAAATTTGTCACCTTTTATTCCTCTTACAAGGCAATCTTGCCGAAAACAATACATTTTCTGCTAAGAATTTCCTTTTTCTGCTTCCTCTTTTTCCACTTTTCCACTTTAAAAATCTTCCCTTTTCTGTTGTCCTTTGGAGCTCCTTTCTATTTGCTAGATGAGATGTTGCTAGATTAATGAATCACTGAATAAAGTCAATTTGATCTTGAAATACTTATTTGGATTTTTGTTATTTATCAAGCCGGAGTTTCACATGTTCCTAAAAGTCACAAACAAGTTTTTTCTTTTTTTAAACACATTTTTCTTTTTAAAGACTTTATTTACTTATTTATCTTTAGAGAGAGGAGAAGGGAAGGAGAAAGAGAGGGAGAGAAACATCAATGTGTGGTTGCCTAGCCGGCAACCCAGGCATGTGCCCTGACTAGGCATCAAACCGGTGACCCTTGGGTTTGCAGACCAGCACTCAATCCACTGAGGCACACTAGCCAGGGCCACATTTAGGTTTTGAAGAGACCCAACTAGTAAGCTAATTACTGCTTTCAAAAGTGTACCTATTAGTTGTGTCAGGGTGGCCCTGAGTTCATACACCAAATGGGTTCGGGGGGGCTGCTGCCTTTGCTAGAGGCTCTAAACCATCACTCACAGAGACATGTGCCATCTCTCATCTCCCAGAAACCTAGGAAGGACTGGGCCTCCTGTAGATGATGGGGAGCCAGAACGACAACAGATGTTTCTTCACTGCAGGGAGGATATTCCCAGTCAACTGTCACTGGAAATGTCATTGGGACTCTGAATATGGTCAGAGGATCCTTTCCCACTGGCAGAGAGGTGACGGCCTCTTAGGGCTGTGGAGACTGAGGCCTCCAACCTGCCAACAAGGAGAATATCATTCATATAATAAAAACTATATCCGAGCTTAGTGGCACTTAATCCAAAAACTCAAGCCACCCTCTGGTGACAAGTGACAGGAATTTTGTCTCACTAATACTTCTCTACCTGACCTTACTGACTAGGATAATCCCCTCTGGCACTAAGGGGGTGCGGAAGCATAGGCATGTCACATGTAATTCCTATTCTGATGTAGAAACAAAAGAATGTTACCTTTTCCCAAGTGGTCCTGCTATGATCTGTGTGTGTCCCACAAAATTCACATATTGAAATCTGAACCCCAAGGTCATGGTATTAGCAGGTGGAGCCTTTGGGAGGTGATTAGGTCATGAGAGCGGAGTCCTCATAGAATAGGCTGCCTGAGAGTCCTGGACTGTGTGGCTTGTTTGGAGTGTTGTGCTGTAGCCAAAAGGTTTCAGGTTCGACCCCCAATCCAGACGCATACAATTCCCAGCCCAGGTGCATAGGGGAAACAACCAGTCAATGCTTCTCTCCCGCATTGATGTTTCTCTTCCTCTCCCTCTAAAAGCAATGAAAAAATGTCTTTGGTGACGATTCAAAAAAAATTATTTTAAAAAGAAGAAAAAAAAAGGCCTGAAGGAGCTCCCTTAATCCCCTCTGCCTTGTGGAAAATAAGGACAAGTTTTCTACCCCAGAGAAATCCCTCACCCAATCGTGCTGCACCCTGACCTCAGACTTCCAGCTTCCATAAGTATGAGAGAGAAGTTGTTTATGAGGCACTCTGTGGAACTGTGTCACAGCAGCCTGAGCAGACTGACATGGGTGCCATCTATCTCACTGAGTCCTCTTCACTTTGCTTCAAGATGGTGCACAACGGCCTGTTCATACAGGGCTCAATCCCCATCCATCCTCATGGACAAGACTGTCAGAAATGGGAAGAGGTTAATATTTTACCTCATTTGCAAACCAAAAAGGTAACCGGCCTGTTTCAGGGATGCTGAACAAGACATGAAACTCCCGGAACTGAGACAAAGACATTATTACTCACGGCACAACAGGAGGCAAGAGGTCTATGTTCACATCATTCCCATGGCTTCCCCAGCCCCAGAGAGGGAGTGTAAAGAAGTCCGGGTGGATGCTGCACACATAGCAGGCTTGTGTCACAGCTGGAAAACATAAAGCCTAAGAAACCCCAATCCTTTCATACGGGTTCCAAGTACACCTTCCCAACCTTTGTTTAACAGGTACTCACTATCTTTATTATACTGGTCAGGAAATTCATCCACTCTTGTCCAAGACAGACACTATTGCATATTCCAAGGCCATTCATATAAAAATTCTTGTCCGATCGTCTACAACAGAAGGTGATACAAGAAGTAAAACAAAAAAATAATTGAGAGATTCACGAAATGTGTCTCAATGGGATGCACCTTTCCCTTTATTATTTGAAATAATTGAGTAGAAAGATCCATTGAAGATTTTTGATACCAACACTGATGTTGGTTGTGTGGTGCTGGGGGATTGTTAAAGACCGAAGGAAGCAATAAGGGTGCAGATTTATCAGGGTACTTCACAGGAAAGACTGATCCAAGGGGAGGGAACACTAAGTAAACAATGAGGGAGAGAGCACAAGAAAAGAGAGAACATACCAGATGAAGAGGTTGATGAAATTATCAGGGAAGCAGATACTGATGTTGATGGTAAAGTAAACTATGAAAAGATTATAGAAATGATGAGAGCAAAGGGAAGACACTGTCCAGAATGTGTTGGTTTTTGTACAAAATTGTTTATTTACCTTTTCTTTGTAAGTTATCTGAATAAGGTTTCCCCCATTGTCAAAAAAATATGCATATATAATAATTAGAACTTCTTCCTCAATGTTATCTTACTGTCATTGTTCTGAAATCTTATTTCACAAAATTGGTCAAGTAA